AGCATCGAAAACAATGAGGTTCTGGAGCGGTGGCAGTTTGACATAGAGTGTGACAAAACTGCAAAGGATGAGAGGCAAGTAACTGTTCCTCTACACCTGCTCTTCCCTGTACCTAGTAGCTGTGCAGGCACAAGATAAATGCCATGTGCATCAGCACTGTTCTGGTTCCTCAGAGCAGCTGAGATAGCCTTTTCTCAGCATGAGCATGGAAGATGTTCCTTCAAACCTTACCAAACCTACCACCTTTCCTACTGCTATACCTTCTGTTTGTCTGTAAATCAGTCAGTATATGACTGAAGCGTACATAATCCTCAGGTATTGATTTTTTTTTTAAAGCATCAGATCAAAACTTGATTTTTAATCTTCAAGAAAGTATATAAAATCCTTTATCGGGTACCTGCCCTGAAGAACTACTGCTTTCCTGTTGTTATGCCAAAATGTTCTCATCCATTCCAGACTGAGAAAAAATGTAACATTCCTTACAAATACTGTGAAGTTTCACAAACAATAAAGGGAAACCGACTATCACTTAACTTTTCTAAGCCTATCTACCTAGGGCTTAAAAGAGTGTCACTACTATAAAAAAAACCCTATAGCAAACAGACCAACAGAGCTTAATAGAGAGAACTGTATTTAAAGAAAACTGTCAGTATAGTAGAAGTTTTCTTTCTTAACAGAGTTTTCCTATTTTTCCAGTGCACCACGAGAAAAATCCCAGAAAGCTATTCAGGATGAAATTCGATCTGTTATCAGACAAATAACTGCCACAGTAACTTTTCTGCCACTTTTGGAAACTGCCTGTGAGTATTCCTAACTTCACTAAAGAAATCAAATGCTTATTTTGGAAAACCTCAACAACTTTTCCACTTTAGAAAATATTTTCTGCTAATTTCCTGAGGCTTTTTAATTACATGTCATATACCATCACATTTCTGAGACAGCGTTTTGTTAGACTGAGATCAGGGCAGAACTCAGGGTGGCTTAACTAACTTAATGAAAATAGTATGTGTACTCTGAGAAGTGTAAGTTTTCATAAATAATAAATTATTTTGTGACTGTAGCTGCGGACAGGCTTGTATAAATAACCATTGAGTCTATATGAAGTGTTACATAAAGCTCAGCTCCACAGTATTTTAACTTTAAAAAAAAAAAATTCACATCACACTTGCTTGAGAAAACTAAAAAGGCTACACGTGAATGTAACCAGGACTTGTTTTCATGTTTTAACTACCCTTTCTTTTCACTAACTAGTATCAGTGTCATTTCTGAGAACCTTGGTACATGTCAACTTTAACTTCAAACATGCCATTTTCTTATGCATGTGTTACTGTTAATTTGTACAGGTGCCTTTGACTTGCTGATATACACAGATAAAGATCTGGCAGTGCCAGAAAAGTGGGAAGAGTCAGGACCACAATTCATAGCCAATTCGGAAGAGGTTCGTCTTCGTTCCTTCACTACTACAATCCACAAAGTAAATAGTATGGTGGCTTACAAAAAGGATTCCTTTCCCTAAGACATAGGGTTTCTGTACATATCCTGTCCCCTTGTACAGTTTCTGTTCATAGTGCAGCTAAGTCATAAACACATCATTACTGTTGCTCTTGCTGAAATATACAGAGAAAAGGCAACGGGTTTGTCTGTGATAACGTGGTATAACACTAGACTAAGCTGGCATTGTTTTTAAAGAGGTCTAAATAAGGTATTCGTAATGATAGTTACAAATTCTTACTTAAACTGTATGAGCTAAACTGTATGTGTTAAACTACTGCATGCACTAGAAAAACTGCCGAAATCTAGGATTGCTAGACTTGTGTTCAGATCCTGTAATTTAGTATTTTAAGATTATCATAAACTGCATTCTATTAGCAGGCTTAAGTTCTCTCTGGCACTAAAAAAATCGCACTCCTGACATGCCAGTTCTTCATATTAAAAGCCTGGGCTGTTTTATTACCAGAAACAATCCTAAAATGAATCAACAGAACAATTCTGAAGTTACCTCTTCACAGTGAAAGCAGCTGTTTATCAGGAAAGTCTTAAATATATGAAGCCTTGTATATTAATGACTGCTGGACTCTAGATCTGGGAATGGTGGTGTTCTAAGTCGGCGTATGTCCCTAGTGTCTGTCAAGCATTTTCTATGTTTGTATTCTCGTTTTACAGAATAAAGCTTGAAATTGTATAGTGTTCTCTAATTCAGAGTCTGTAGTACTTCATATTTTAGATGGTTTTATGAATGCTACGTCTTAGTTTATAACTGTCATAGAACTAATACCCTAAAGGCATCCTACTTACATTCTTACTTTAACTGTTTCCTCCGAGTCTCAAAACAAGTGTTGTGGAGTCAATATGAAATCCATTCATGGATTAATAGTTTGCTCCCACTTAAGTCTTCAAATAACAGTATAAGCAGCCACAGGACTTAATGATTAAGCACAGTGCCTTCCATATTTGTTAAACAGCACAGGACTCTCATTGCATTCTTCATGCATTTTTGTACTGGAAGAAATTAGGGATTTAAAACTGTGTTAATAGAACTTTCAGGCTCTACCATGTTTTTGTTCATTTTCTTCACCAAATTCACTTCAGTCAGGGTATTTAACTTCTCCTACTCTTCTAGAGTTACATATGACTCTTCCTGTTATAACAGTATAATTTCAAAAGTTTATTTAAAAAACATTGATTACACATACTCCACCACTGTACTACAAAGTTGCCGGGCTTTCCAGGAAATAGTTCTCTCCAGCAGCCCCAGTCTAGTAGAAGTGAAAAGGCCACCTTTTTGTAAATCAGTAGCAAAAAATCATGGCTTTTTAAAATAAATACAATCCAGATACTTAAAGCACGGCAGTAACAGAGGAATACCTAGTGTTTTCTTCTGCCTGTCGGCAATATTCTTTAACAGGTGACTGCACTACCCCTTTACACCTAGAAGGAGATGCACTTCAAGGAGTGCAACTTCAAGCACTTCCCCTGGGGAGACCGGATCAAACCAGTGAGTGCAAGTCAACTGTAACAGAAATTTAAATCAGGAACTGACAACCACACTGCTTTATACCAAAGATGAGATGAGGAGGTGACTGGTACAGAGCCAGCAGTAATGAGTATAAAAAAAACAGAAGTCAGATTGCTCCAGGAAGTTCAAGTCACTTCTTTCTTGTACCAAATACAATTTATCATCTTCTTTAAGAAGGACCAGCCCAAAGTCCATCTCCATCATCATCTGTGTATTTTTTCTTTTTTTATAGAGGCACCAACAACCACGAGACATAGTATATCATTGCATAGAGATAATGTCCATGAAAACTACAGGTAAAAAGGAACAGGTTATAAATCCTGAAGTTTTCAGAAAAACCCTGAAGAACAGGAAAGAAAGAAAGAAAAAAAACAAAGTCACATTAATGCAATCTCCCAGAAGTCAAGCCTTTATGAAGCTGTCCAGTAGGATTTGCTGCTACCTAATAGGACTCACACTCTTCATTAGTTTCCCCTACCTTGTGGGTCACTTCTGTAGGGTGAAGAATCAAAACCAAAGGACCCTCCCTCATCTCTGATGGCAGTATAGTTATTCTTAGGAAACCGGATAAAGGATAAGATTTAGAAGTTACACAACAGATATTCCTCACCTGGCTAGTTCAGCTGACGTATAAGCTGGTTGATTGCTTCACCTCTGCAGCCAGGCTTACCCATTTCCTTGAGGAAACCCACTTTGTTACGTGAAGCATGACGAGCCACTGACAGATGGAATGGCCATAGAAAGTTTGTGACTTTTTTGAAATGCTTCCCAGCTGAGTAGATTTCATGAATGAGGTCTTCCAGGCAAATAATACCATAGTTGCCTGCAGGAAAAAAAAATTAAAAACACCCAATAAAAAACCAAAAAGCTCCCTACAAACGACATATACACAAGATGCCCAACTCTATCATCTTTCCTCATGCTACTCCAGAACTGCCAGTCCTCCATATACAAGTCTTGCAAGATTTTTCTCCCTCCCCTCTCTCTTAGGTCAGATTGCAAACTCTCAACATCTGCCTCTTTCCTTGATCCACTTCATTTTCTCATCCTCTTCCTCACCTAGATGTTCTTCTATCAGCATATTGTCTGTCAGAGGCATCCTCTTTTTCTTAATCTTGGCTTGGCCCCGTTTCAGGATGAGCTCTCGTACAGATTTCAGGTTAGGGTGTCTGTGCAGAAACAAAAATCAGATTCAGTAATGGAGAGACATGATGCAGCACAAAGTCCCATCCTACTTCTTTGTATAGAGGTGGGAAAGTAACCAAGTTATGTTTAGAACAATGAGAAAAGGGACAATAACAAGTTTTAGATATAAAGTTGACAAGGTTTTGACCATTACTGGAAAAGTCAGCTATGGATTTGTTATACCAGATGGAGGATCAGAAAGCTACTGTCAAGTCACGGGACTAGTACTTACCCCCAGGCCACGTAAGGTTCCACAATCCGCAGCATCTTCAGCGATAAAGGAGTCAGTTTTACAAATGTTCCAGTGAAATTTTTTCTCAGCCGCAGCAACTCAATCACTCTTCTTACCCTCCTACTCACTCCCTTAATACTGAGTCAGAAATAAAATACTATTAGTACCCACATTTCTCTAATATAGCAACAAAGGTCTCAGATTACCTACAAGGGTACATGTCCAGGTTGATCACCCTTCCTTCACTTAGAAATAATATGACAGCTACAAATAGTAGCAATAATAAAGGTAAGGAGTAACAAAAGTTTCCTACTCTACAATCCGCACAACAAAGGCTAGTTTGTGCTCCTGGGGTTCAGCCGTCTGTCCAGGTCTCTGCTCCATGCGCCTCAGCCGGATGTCATCTCGGTGTTTGCGCCATGAATCTCGAACAAAAGTCTCAAGGCGTTTAAACTGGATTTGTTTCCCCTTCTGGTGCTAAAGACAAAAGCGTAAGAAATTATCACTCTTCCCAATGGTCTGAGAGGTCTGCATCTCAAAGGTCAAATGAAATTCAGAACTTGATGAACTATGCTCTTTCAGTTTTGGAGGCAGCAAGAAGAAAGTAAATTTGATAATCTAAGCTGAAGGGAGACAGAACTGAGGGACAACATATGAATTTACAAGCAGCTAGCTATAATTTATGAACAGTGAACAAAGAGTTTTTCCCCAGGAAAAAAAAAAATTAGAAAAAACAGAGCAAGACCTAGGATACTTTTAGGCATAGGAGAAATCAAATGGAAACATTTGCAGCCACCGACACACAGATCTTCACAACTACACATAGAGCTCAGCTGATCACTGGGAAAGCCAGAAACAACATATGTGTCTGGGTAAAACGGATTCTACAGCAATACCCTAGTGTGACTCAAAATTATCATCCAACAGAAAATAACTGGGTTTAAAGTCCTTTTCTATAAAGGCACACATGCAAAAAAAATCCAAGCATTCAAATAATTATTAAGTATTACTAATTTAAACTCAGAACATCCAGCTCATTTTAAAAAAAAAAAAATCTTCTCAGAATTATGGGAAAATTTAAAGCTTTTTTTAAATTAAAAAGATGTTTAAATGGCTATCCTTAGCTCAAGAACAAGTACATCCACCTAAATCATAGTGATTTCTCACATGAATAGGAGCTGAATGTGCATGGCAGTTACCCAATAACATTTTAGATCCACTGCTGGCTAAATTATCAGGGCTTTTTAACTTGAAGAATCTAATGTTATACGTCTTCTGTTCTATTTCACCTTGTATATCACCCATGAAATTGCTTTGAATTTTCAAAGCAGGCAGACCTATCAAAATCTCATCGCTAGGGTCATTTTTCTAATGAGAATCTTAAGAGGTGACTATTTAACATTATTGCTTAGGCTTCCACTTCCACCTTGGAAATACAGCAAGCCACTGATATATTTAAAAACATAAACACAGTATCTAACAAAAATGGCAGGAGTTTTCCACATAATCCCACCAACTCCACAGAAACAGATTCACTGGGAAAGCTTTAAGCCACTTCCAAGACAGGCACCTGCTATATTAGCTGAGATACAGCAGAACAGGTCTCAAATTCTGAAATAGAAAGGTTTGCTGTGCTCTGCCAGAGGAGGTAGGCCTTCCTCTTCTGGAAACCACACACTGTGCACAGGGAGTCTCTGCATTAGCAACATGTGTCACCCTATACATAGAAAAAGGCTTCACGATGACTCGTCTATGCTTTAATAGATTTATCTAGCTAACGATAGATAGCTAACTCTAAATACACTCTCAGAAAAGCACACTGTCTCCGTGAAGGTTTACAGTGCAAAGGTGAACTGGTTTCAAACAGTGTAATCCCATGGTAGCACAAACAACTCAGCAGCGTTACATTTTACCATGTGCGGCTATACACACACGCATCCTGGTAATCGTTGATCTAAGAGGAACAACTCACAGTCTTCAATAAATTTGTGTTTCAGTATAACAACCCAAAAAGTTTTGTCCTATTTAAAGGGCTCAGAGATACATGGGGAAGATGCTCAACAACTGAAGCAGTGAGATGAACTCAAGCTTCCCCTCAGACATAACCCTGGGGATCATCACAGTACCAACACAGTCTCAACTGACTCCCTCCGTTGCCCACCCGCGGAGCTCCGGCATCCCCTCTCG